GAATCCAAGCAGATTCCGGAGGTTTTGCAGAGGACGAGGTGCAGAAAGCGATTGAAGGCTAAAGGACCCGCTTGGGCCGTGTTCCTCTCAGCTCCTCGCGGACCCAGGGCTGACTTATCTCTCGGCCGCCCGCGCACTGGGGTGTCCGTTTGCACGTTGGTCGTCGGTAAGTTTAGATAGGCAGGACATGGTCATGTCACTGTGAGCAGCCGAGTGCTTGAGGGAGGGCCAAGAATTCGCGTCCTGGGCACCGGCGGCAGGACTGAGGCCACGGGGATGGCCACGCGTCCATCCTGGCTCCGGGGCAGCCAGGGGAGGACAGAGGAACCAGGAAGGTTTTCCACCTTCCTTGAATCAACAAGTGACTCTTCTCATTACAGATAAGGGTTTGTCATGGCCCTGATAAGTGAGAAGCTGCTGCAGCAGGTGCCAGAAAACCTTTCCCCGGGGAGCTGGAGGAGGAGGAGTTTGTCAGGATGTGGTTGGTTAATTGTGGGCAGTAAAATCAGACGTGTTTGCTCCGAGGTGCGCGGCCGCGGTGCCCCGGGTCTTCAGCAGAAGCAGGTGCCGCGCGCTGTGATTTCCCAACTGGCATCGCCGTGGCTCCAAACGATGGCCACTGTAGAGGTGAAATCTCTCTTATTGTGCACAAAAGAAATAAGGTGGTTTTGATCCTTGGCTCTTGGTTCTGCTCACGTTTCGGCACGCTGTCCTGGTGGCTGTCGTGCCACTGGAAGTGGTGAGGCGACAACCAGACCCACGCAGCCTCTTCTGGACACAGCTCCTTGGTGAATTCAGGCTGGGATTTTGTTCACTTGATCACAGTGGGTTGCTGATACCACTGACGATCAAAAAGCAGATTAAGGAAAGTGGGTCTTTGTCAATCTGGGAGTTTTAAAACCCAGGAAGTTCTCTCTGATAGTAAATAAAGTGCGAGGCCCATTTTGAAAGTTCTATAAATCTAATAAAATAAATTCTTAATTTGTCAGGGCAGGTTATTTGTAGTTATTTTTAACATTTCCTTGATCATTTGCTGTAATGAGGGGCAATTCAAGTCTCAGCTGCGCGGTTAGGAGCATTTCCCTGTTTGTGACACGCTCCCTGCCTCTGCGCTGTCGCCTGCCGGTACCTGCGTTCACTGCCTGGGAAGCAAGTGCTGGTGGAGCTGGCTTGGATACGGAGAGAGCTGGGGTTGTTTGCGCTTGTATAACATTATTTTACTGATTTTTGCTGTGTGAAAGATGCTTGTTCAACCCTGTGTAGAAGCACACAAGAAAGAGGCATCATGACATAACGTTGTTCGCCGGTATCAAAGGAGGTTACCCTTATCAAGGTGAAACTTGGCTGTGCTGCCACTCACTGTTCTTGTGTTACATGTAACAAATATGCTTATTTCCCTGGCAATCGGAAGAAAAGGGATCCAACCTCTCCGCATCTTCCCTTCCAGCGTCAGTCAGTGCTGCAACAAGGTGTTAATTGTAGAGGTGCCGGGTGGCACCGCGGCCGCCTCTGCTGCTTGCCCATTCCTCTTCAACCCGAGAAGGGATTTGGCTGCGCAGAAAAGGTTTTATTGCAACTAGAAGAAAATACTTGTGATGGCTGTAATAACCCCTAGTGCTGAACACTCACTGGATTTCCAGAAAAACACACACAGCTTTGATTCTGAGGACAAGCGGTCTTGAGAGAGAGTGTCTAGGGGATCTGATCTTTTTAATTATCGTAAGGCCCTGCGAGTCCTTCCCGAATCACAAAATGTACTGGAGGCACCACACGCCACTAAATTATCCTTGGTCTTGTTCTGAGGGTACAAAGCAAAGTAAGACATCAGATATTGTATGAAAAAAAGTTTCAGAACACAAGGTCATTTTAATTCAGGCTTTTTTTTTTTTCCCAAGGAACCATCTTTCCTCAGCTTTGATATTTTGCTCAGAAAGGTCATTTCTTTTAAGCCTTTGTCATTAAAGAAGACTTGCTCTTTAAAGTGCATTATCAAAGATTGCAGAAATTGCAAGTTACTGAAACTAAAATGCATGATCAATTTTAAGTCTGCCAACCAAAGCCCACTTAAAATTAGATGTGCCCTTGTGCTGGTGGCGCCTTTGATAAAGCCAGTAGAAGATATGCAGTTGGTCAACTCCAGCCAAGAAAGGAGGATAATTAAATATAACTTTTCCTCCCCAAATTAGGAGTTATTTTCATGGACAGGATCCGATCCTGCTTCCCGCTTTCCTTGCTTCAAGGGACCATTTGGAGAAGAGGCTTTCTGGCCTTTCCTGGTGGCTTTCCTCATGCTGTTGCTAGCACCATTGACCTTCAAATTTCATTTTAACCAAAATCTTCCATGGAAGTGAAGAGAAGAGCTGGCAGAAGCTCTGATATTTCCATGTCCAGCCCTTCTTGGACCAGTCTCCATCAGTGCTGGGCACATCCTCATCACTGCTGCTGGTGTGACAGCCTTGCTGGGCAGCTCTTAGCACTGCTGCCACTGGAAACCTAGAATTTAGGGTTGAAAACATGCAGATTTGGGGCCGTGCTTGCAGAAAGCGTGAGGGAGAGGAACACCTGAGCTAGGACACGGCTCTAACAAGTTAATAGCCTCTGTCAGCAGGTTTGGGCTGCCGGGGTCCTGCACCTCTCCCGCGTGGAGCCCGCGAGCAGGGTTTAACAGCAGGAGGCCTCATTGGTGTCTCACACGGGTGCTCGAGTTGGCTCCTTTGCCCAGGGAAAGGCCTCAAGGGCTGCGGCTCCAGGCCGGCCCTCGCGGCGCTCCGGAGCCGCATGCCCCGAGCTGGGCACCGCTTGGAGCCACCTTTGTCCCCCACCAGCACCGCCGCGGCCCCGGCTCCTGGCGGGAGCGAGACACGTTTAATGAGATTTAGGTCATTTAGCCTGTAAAAAGCAAAAGGAAGCAAAGAGTTTTGGAAACAGGGGCTGTTAAAGTGATCCCTAGTCTTTTCCTCTTAGTCCGTTGCTTTTTCTTTCCTCTCCACCACTGGTTTAACAGCAGTTTATCATCATCATACAAATGCCCTAGCAAGTGCACAAGGGTACGGGCTGTGCCCTGGCCCCCGGGCAGCATCTCCGTGCCCGTGGGTCCCCGGGAGCCTCCGACGGGGCAGGCTGCAATTCCCATGAACTGGCGATTTAGGGAGTTTGTCTCCTTCTGGAACAAGTATTTCTAAAAAAAAATATATATATATATATATTCCTTAGAAATGTCTCTTCCTTTTTAAATTCAGGCCATACCTAGAACTCTGTAAATGTTTATATTTGCTGCCGCTGCTGAGGGTGCTGAGGCTCTTGCAGGAGGTGGCAAAGCTCGAAGCTCACGAGTGCAGAGCCTGCCTGGGTGGAAGGGAAGATGCTCAGGTAAATGGAGGGAGGAAACGTGCCCTGCATTTCTGCAGTCCTCTGCTTCATCCGCAATTTCAGCCCATTGTGCAAGACTCGGTGTGCCTTGGACTTGGAGAAACCCCATTTCAGTTTGTGCCCTGCCATCAAGCCAGGACCGCCAGCTATAACGCAGAATTCGACAGGCTTTCAGATACCTGAAACAGATTATTTTTGTGACCCTGGCTGATTTAGGCACCCAAACTTGGCTGAGGGCATCGATCTCCAGTGGATCAGCAATTCAGAGTCTGTATTTACTGTTAATTACTACTCCGAATGTATCAGCTGAACCTGTGAGTGCAGAGGGGATGCACAGGCTCACGGAGACTGAAAAAATACATATTTTTTTTTTCGCCTTTACAGAGTAGCATGGCCAGCACAGTTAAAAGCTTTTATGGAAATAATTCTAGCCCTAAAATGAGGTGTGTGCATTTAGCCAGACTCCATACATATTTCAAATCTAAGTGGAAATAGCACAAAAATCACGTGCTTTGCAGTAGGAATTGGAAAAAACCTCTTCTGTTTTATTAGATCTTAGGTCAGCAAAGGCAGTTTGCTGTGACAGAGCAAAATCACTCAGCAGACTGTAATTCTTCTTAAAGCCTGTGTGGGGGAACCACCACCAGTGCGGAGCCAGGGAGTCCTGCAGAGCTAATGATTTAATGGGAAGCTGCAGTTGCCAAAATATTAGATGAAAAGCTCCACCCAGGCCTCAGTGCAATGAGGTGATAAAACCATGAACAAAGGGGCTGCAGCCCTGGCTCCAGAGAGGAGCACTAGCTCATTAGCAGGTAATTCTCCCCCTTTTCTTAAAATCCTGTTCCTCACAGCGCACGGTGCAGGTTGGCAGCTTGGGAAAGGGGGATTGCTTCTGGTGCAACCCAGCACTGCTGTGAAAAGCCTGGTGAATACCCCCAAAAAAGTGGTTTGGAAGCTTCAGCCTTTCTTCCAATGGCGCAGTCTGAAGATGTAGCAAGAGCACCTGGAGAAACCAGATGAAGCAACCACATTTCCAAACACGGGATTCTCACCTTAGCAGAAAGTGCAAAGGATGTTTCTAATGCGGCCCTCTCCCAGCTCACGGGGTCCAATTTTGTCACAGTATCTGCTGCCTCTTGTTTAAACTTTCCCTGCCTTCACAGCTGCGGAGCTGGGCCTCATCCAAACCCCGGGAACTCGAAGGGAAACTCGCGGTAGCTCCAAGCTGGCCCTGGCTCAGGGCCTGCGGGCTCGTCCGGGGCAGCAGCAGCTCTGGCCACCCCGTGGGGGACCCGTGTGGCCACGGAGGCTCCTGCAGTGACACCGGGTGGCTGCATTTCCCGGGATTCCCGGGCGGCTGTTTCCTGGTGTCCCTGGGTAGCTGCGTTTCCCGGTCTTCCCGGGCAGCTGCGTTTCCCGGTGTCGCCATGCTGGATCAGGTCCCCACCTCGCAGCAGCAGCTACACCTGGAGCAGCATCTCCTGGTGGTCCCCTTCACTGCTCCATAACCTACGTGGGTGCCCTGGGGACACCTTCATGCCTCTTCTCAGACCCTTGGCAGCTCTTTCTGCAGGCTCCGTAGGTGCCACAAGCCATTGGAGTAGCCAGTTATGCTACAGGTTAAAACACAAATTGTGAAAAGAAATGCCCGGGCAGCAATGGCACTGAGCGCTTGCACATCACACGCTAAAGGCAGCAGCACAAACGATGGAGCTCCCATAGGGACACTTCCCACCTGAACCCTCAGCCCTGGTTCAATGAGGACCATGTGCAAACACTTAACCTTAAGCCCATGCTAAAGCCCGGGCCCATCTCCATGCTTAAGCGCTCTGACGAATAGGGACCTTTTGGGGGTTTTAAAGCTATGTGCACACACCAGCCTATCTTCTGCCTCCAGGGCAGATTGAGCCTCAGGGTGGTTTGTGCTCCCAAAACACCTTCCTCAAGGATGAGGAACTCTTCTCAATACCAGCTGTGCCTCTCGTGCATCCTCCTGCCCGGGCAGCTGCAGGGAGGCTCATGCCAACGTTGCTGGTGGCGACGCTGTCGTCTTCTGCAGGAGGTTTTTACAAGTGGAAGTCGCTGCTCGTGGGCGGACTTTGGACACTTTGGCAGTGTGTTATTGTACCCCTGTGCTTTGCTTTTCTCTCCTCGGGAGTCCATCTGCCGAAATGAGTTCTGCGCTCTTGGTAAGTCTCGGGACTATGTGCATTTCTGACAATTATTGTTGCTCTTCTCTTAAACCCCTGCACAAAGGGGATGGAGGTGATGATGCTGCCTCCCAGCATGGCTCTCACAGACGGTGTTTTGGCCAGATAGTCTCCATAAGGAACAGGGTGAGAAATGCCAAGCTTAAGCTGAAATCTTATTTTGAAATTCATGTGACTGCTGGGAGCCTTGGGGTTGATACATCCGCGCTGCGCGGGTCTGCAGAGCTTTATTCCCCTTTTTCTTGTGGCAGTCACCGCTTAGTAAATATCCACGCGCTCACAGGAGTGCTAAGCTGTGAAATAGCTGCATGGGGGCTCAGAACTTGTATTTAGAGATTTAAGACCAAAAGGGGCACAGTAATGGCCTAGGGACACCATTCCTAGACCTTTCCTGAGTTAATTTTCTGCTTCAAATCCAGTCGATCTGTTGGAAATAGAACACTTCTTTAAAAAAAAAAACTACTTAGAAAAATAACTACTACTCAAATATTATGAAAGTTCTCTTCTACGTTCCTACTGTCTGCATCAGATCCTCTCTGATGAAACTTTTCATTTGATAAGCAGAACAGAAGCTCCTCCAATCTAGCACCCAATGTGCTAGAAATTTCTACCTTTTAGTCATTTCCCTGTTTTTCAAAAAAAATAATGAAAAATAACTTCAGGCCCTTTTGCTAGGACACTATTAAATAGACTGGCATTAATTATAATGCATTCTTTTAATTCTTTACCTATTGAGCATCAGTCTTTCTTTCTGCTCTTGGAGATAAACTCGGGGCCTAGGTCAGTAATAACGTGCAAGCTTCAAGCACGGACACGTCTCGGCTCTCTTGCCCGGCCTTCCCGTGCCCAGGACGCGGTTTCGAGGGTGACAGGGGGCTGTGAAGCTCCCTGGCCAACTCTTCAAGAAGTTGTAAGCAGCTTTGCTGATATTAATATGTTTTGCCCTAAGAAGTTTAATTGCTTAATATATTCTTTTGTTATCTTTTGCCATAGGAAGCTTTCATCTTCATTTTAATAGATTATCACTCTTTTTCCCCAAATATAGAATAGTGGTATTAGAGTAATACTTTCGACTTTTTTCATCATTATTCTATCGTTTCAACTTTATATTGGGTAAATATCACACAAAATCACTTTCCATCAAAACATTTCCTAAATAACAACTGTCCTTTGAGTTGTTTTAATTTCTGTTAGTTAAAGAATTTACTGCAGTCCCTCAGCTTTTTCTCATTTCTCCCTTGCCTTTTGGTGTGTATTAATTGCTGGAAAAAAAGCTTCCCTCCCCCACACTACATTTTTGGACGTCTAAATCTTACTTTTCTTGGTTCTTTGCCCGTTTAACTTTCTTGCCATGCTGTTATCTACCTACAAAAGTGTAATTGCATGTTGGTTTTGGCTACCTAAAGATATTTCTAGAGGTTGGAAATGTGGACTTGCCGGTCTGTGCTGCAAGACCATCGATTGCTCCCCGGGCTGGGTTTCCAGCCCCAAGAAACCTTCGCCAAGGTTGGCAAAATTGCCCCATTTTGGTGCAGTGAAGGCTTTGGCCCCTTGCAGCACACGTGGCACCAGCGCCGTCCTGCAGCATCCCCGTCCCAGCGCCATGGGGCCGGGGCTGCATTTCTGCTCCTGCCCTGCATCTCCAAGGAGTTTTTCCCCTTTCTAAGAAGGATGTCGCCCACTGAGCTATTCATAGGAGTTAAATGAGAAAAGGGGTTAATAAAATAGATGCTGGAAAAAAAGAAAATAAGATTAGAGGGACTGATGTTTTGGCTCTGGGGCCTTCTGTGGGCTGTGGAGGCGGGAGGGGAAAGGAACAAGATTATTATTTTCTTTTCTCTGGCTCAAAGAACTTCATGGCCAGAATGGCACCACTAATCCAATTTTCTTTCTAACAAGTATTTTATCAACACCCTTTTTTTCCTCTCTTCTTTCCCCTCCATCTCTATGCTAGTCTCCTTAGCTGCATGCTTGAAACTGGAATTTCAGCTATCGGGTGTGCACCCGAAAGAGTGCAAACGTGCTGAATTTTGCTGTGAGTTTTGGGCACCCGTTTTCTCCTGCCTAACCCCAAGAAGGTGGCCTTGGGGACAAGTTTAGTGCCGTTTGCCAGAGTGACTGGTAGCAGCTCCCTGGAAAGCAAAGAGCCGCTTTGGCAACAGGGAAATCCAAGGGAGGAAGGAAGGAGCGAGTCAGGGAGAGTGTGCTGGTGGGGGGATGATGGAGGCAAGACCTGGGGAGGAAAAAGGCCATTTATCTTGGGTGGGGAGGAAAAGCAAAGCCTGAAGGAGTTTGATTGCCATCCATCAGCCATGTCGCCGCTCCGGCTGCTCCGGGCTGTGCTGGCAGACGTGGGTGCTCTGGCCGGCAGGGGCAGCCTCCCGGGGCAGCAGAGCCATCCCATCCTGGGGAATTCTCGGGCAATTGCCAACAGCAGCCTCTAGACTTGGACCTCAAATGTCAGAAGTGCTTGCAGCGCTCCGGAAAGCCTCCAGGCACCTGGAAAACACTATGAGCCTGGCAGGAGGTCAGGACAGGGGACTGGGAGGAGACAGAAGGGCTGGAGTCGCTTAAAGCAGAGACATTTTGTACTGGTGCTGCAATCTCAGCTCGGGAGAGGTGCCCATTCCCGGTCCTGCACGGCCTCATTGCCTGTTGTGGAGAGTTTCCTTGGCCCTTCCTTGTCAAGAAGCCGCTTGGTGCCTGGGGGTTCCTGCACGAAGGGGCACGGGAGGCAGAGGAGCAATTGGCCGTGGTGCTTCTCCAGGGCCGGTGCAGGGGGGAGCCATCCCGGGGTGTTCCCGCTCCTTCCCAAGGCTCTTGGCACTCACTTTGCCTGGAGAATCTGCCCGTGTCAGAACACGACTCCGCTCCAGTGAGTTGTTACGCACTGGGTTGCGGGCAGCAGTCAGTGCGGGCAGGCTCGGGCGCGTTCCGCAGAACAGCGGAGCATTGGATTTGATCCCGTGATGCTGGAAAGGTTCACCTAGACTAGAATTATGACCAAAATTAAATTTTGATGCAAAACTGAGCTTGCTGCAAAAAAAAAAAAAAAAAAAAAAAAAAAGGCAGGAATTGGGAACTCTTTTTTTTTTTTTTTTTCCTTCTCCTCCCCTCTCCTCTTCTCTCACCTCACTGCAAGGCTGAAGCTCTATGCCAAGCACTGGGGGTTAAGAAGCAGGTTGTGTCAATGCTCTGTGGACGTTGCCGCAAGATGCCCCAGCCCTTCCCGACGCTCGTTTTTCTCTCCATTTAAAGCCCAAAGCAGGACTGAACATCCCTGTTCCTTGGTGCCGCACGGCAGGACCGCGTTGGCCCGTGAACCCGCTGGCTCACGGGGTACCTGCCCGGCCAAAGCCGCTTCCATGGATGCTCTTCGGCCCCGAGGTTCTCATTAACATTTCCCAATCCACAAACTCTTATTAGTGACAGGGATGAGTGGGAGTTCGAACTGGCCATGAAACCTGTCCAGAGAAAGTTCCTCATCTGGAAGAACTATAAGCAACGCAATCCTGGCCGGCTCCTTGAGCAACGCCGCCCGGCACAAGCGTTGTCTTCAGGCTACTTTAATTACGAAACTGTGTTCCCAGCCCCGGGCTTTGCAGCCTCAGTGCCTTTGCTCTCCCTCTTGAGCAATGTTTTATTGCCTTGAACCCATTTGTTATTAAGGTAAGAGCATCTGGAAGGTATGTGAAGGGTCTGTTTGCCTGCTATTATATTTGCGCCATTTGATCTTACTGTTTTTCTTTTTGTCGGTATCTCAAAACCTAAAACTGGGATTATCTGGAGGATTATAGGGGAATTAGGCACTCACTGCCAACCAGCTTGCACTGTGCTTTAGTCTTGTGAGTTTTAAAATGGCCCCAAATATCCACTGACTCCTCCCATGGAGCAAAAGCGGAGGGTGTCCCAGCCTCGCCCCAAATTGCTGTTTTTGCTTAATTTTGCCCCTGATTTAGAGCTGCTGGGGCTCTTCCCCTTCCTTCTTTTATTCCCTCTCTCTCCTTTTCTTTCTCCCCTTTCTTATTTTTTTTACCAGACCCTACGGCCGGGCACAGTGTCCCTCACAGCCCTGCAAAGGCCGGGCCGGCCGTTAAGGGCACATTCACACCTATTTTCCTTGCCTTGTCTCCCCTTTATTCTTATGAAGCTCTCATTGATTATTGCCCTTAAATTCCTCAGTCCGGTCATAGATAAAAGGATAACCACTTCAAAGCGAAGTGTTAAGAGTTTAACCTCAAGCTAAAAGAGTGGACAACAAGGTAATTGAGGGTAATAACTGATCACAGACCTACTTT